CTGTGTCTGTCTGTCTGTCTGTCTGTCTGTCTGTCTGTCTGTCTGTCTGTCTGTCTGTCTGTCTGTCTGTCTGTCTGTGTCTGTCTGTCTGTCTGCCTGTATGTCTGTCTGCAAATGTTGTTTCGTATGAATATATCCACAAATTGCGTCATTTCGCCAAAAATATTCTATATTTCCAATAATTAGCTGTAGTAACTAAGTTAGAATGGCAGCCATTGCTCCGTGTTACCAAATAAACCAAACTGTAATGATCACTCACAATATTGTATAGACTAATCTGAAAAAACAGATGATGCTAGGAGATAATTTCATTCTGATATATATATATATATATAATAGTATAGTAAACATAATTATAATAATTGTATTTATATGCAATAGATACTAGTATGATAATCCCACTGTGCACGTTCATATTTGTATTTCATGGTGATTTGTGTTTCACAAACATTCCATTATCTATGTTTAAAAGCAGCCTATGTTTAAACAAATCAAGGTGAATTTAAGCAGTTGCGTTGTCATCGTCCATCGAGAGTGTATGGCTACGCAGGTACTAGTAGTGGGACATACGTGTACAACTAGAAAGTAATCTACCTACTGACGTAGTCTTTGCTATTCAATCCAAACATACTAAATTATCAGTAGAGTTTTCAGTATTAAAAATATTTACCCTTTGACACAAATTGTGGAAATGAACACAGATTCAATAAATTCTGTGCATGTTTGAGTGTCTAGAGGTTTATTGAATATTCGGTGTATATTCTCAAATTAATTACTACTACTGCTGCAAAGGATGACATTGAATGTGGCCCAAATCAAACGTTTTTAACAAATACAAATCCATCGCGAATGTACGATTTCTTATCGTCCGAAAATTAAATCGATGCATGGCAACTGTTTTGATGCAGACGTTATCCTGCGTTATTGTAGATGTTTTGATGCAGACGTTATCCTGCGTTATTGTAGGTGTTTTGATGCAGACGTTATCCTGCGTTATTGTAGAT